GATGTGAATTGTCACAGCAGCACGAGCTCAGCTGCTCATTTTTCTGCCACTTGTGGGGTGGTTGTGCACTTTAAGACTGTAAGCAGGTGTTTAAAAGTAGGCAGAAAACTCTGCAAGCAAACTGTGGCATGGGATATAGTCTTTAAATCTAGAGGAAAGTGACAGTTTGTGATCTAAGAGTCACTTTCTGGGTTTTTGCTGTAAGTTTTAATGTTTTCAGCTATTTTGTGCTGAAGTGAGCTGCGTCCAGTTGCTCTAAGGGTGGAGAATTCCTTTGCTGACTGAGGGGTAGCAGCTGGCTCTGGGTTTTCGATTAAGCCTCCCTAAATTGGTCAGAGGATCCTCCAGGCTGTGCATTTATGGCAGTTTCAGGGGGGGTTCGTGTGTTTGGGTTGCAGGGTGGAGTTCACCGGGCAGTGATTGTTTTGTCACTGAGGAGCTGCAGCACTGCACAAAAACCTCTTCTGGCTGAATCTCCCGACTGCTCATTTGCTCCCTTTCGGTTTTATTTCCCTTTGACGCAGAAGGTAAACGGCATTTTGGAGAGCCCTACGGGCACGGGAAAGACCCTCTGCCTGCTCTGTTCCACTCTGGCCTGGCGGGAGCACTTTAAAGATACCATCTCGGCCAAAAAAATCGCTCAGCGTCTGAAGGGGGTGGAGCTTTTCCCCGAGAGACCCACCTCCTCCTGGGGCAGCGCCGACGCCGACACCCCAAGTAGGTGCCGCCGCTGCTGGGCTCAGTCCGGGGAAGTTCCTGAACATTCACTTTAATCTTTTGTCATAAATGTGTAATTCTAAAAGTCGTGGAGCTGTTGTTTGGTGGCTGAAGTGTTTTCACACCTTTTTTTTATAGATTTTAAAGGTGTTTTACTTGTTTTTTTGTGTTTTCTTGCAACACTAGAAGCTCTTGTAGCTGGTTTTGTCTGTGTGAGTAGTTAGATGACAAAATGTCTTGCTGTCTCTACACAGCAAACTGTTACCATAGTACCAACTGGGAAAGGAGGCTGAAAATATCCCTGCTGCTTCTCTCCATGCTAATAATGTTTATCTGCTTTTTTTTTTCCTTCTCTCCTTGGCAGGTTATTACACCGATATTCCCAAAATCATTTATGCCTCCAGAACTCACTCCCAACTTACACAGGTCATTAATGAGTTAAAGAACACGGTCTACAGGTAAATATAATTTAGGGTAATGTTCCTGTTCAAAGAAAAGGTGGAGGAGCCCACCTGGGTGTGCTACTGTTTGAATTTATGTGGATGAATGTATAAAAAATCTCCACTGAAATGTAGTTCTCGCAGTGTGCATGTGTAGAACCTGAGTGTCTTGGTTGGGTTGGGTTTGGGTTTCTTCATGCTTCACAGCTTCTATTCTCTCCTTCAGTCATTGAATTTCCTGAATTGGGTCTGGCTTTGGGGCTTTACTTCACATATTTTAATTCTAAAATTACCTTTCTCTTCTCATATTCTTTCCTTCTCTTCTCTGGGTTATTTAAGGCAGGGGGAAGCCGTTAGAAAGTTGAATTCCTTTGGCTGATGTAAATCCAATGAAGAGCTTTGTGCTTTTGCTGTAGTGCTGTCTGTCAGCTGTTGGTGTGCCAGTGTGCTGGCTGAGCTCTTTGGACAGACAGTAACCATTGCTGATGTGCTTCTTGTGAAGGCACAGCCTTGTCATAAGCAAAAAATGTATTGTCTTTGTCGTGTGTTACTTCTTGTTATCCTTACTCTAAAAACAGCAGCCAGCTCTGGGGTAGTTTGAGAGATGACCATCCCCAGGTCATTCAGCTGAACAACCATAACAGAGCCCAGATTTTGCAGTGGCTGATGGAAGCTGCTGCTCCTTACCTCCTGCTGCTTCTCACCACCAGAAGGGCAGTGCCACAAAGTCAGATAACACATTAGCTGTTACAGACAGACTAATTTACTCCTGATTCTGACCCTTATTTTGGGCTCATCTGTTTCTCCTGAACCTTCCCTGTTTTTTGTTGTATGCGATACCCAACCTGGGCAGGTACAACTGTGTTCTTTCTTCCCTGACTTTTAACTGTGTGTTGTGTTGGAACAGGCCAAAGGTCTGTGTGTTGGGTTCCAGAGAGCAGCTTTGCATCCACCCTGAGGTGAAGCGCCAGGAGAGCAACCACATGCAGGTGAGAGCAGAGCCTTGAAACCATGCACAAGGGGAGCACAGAGGTGTTGGGGTTTGGTGTGCAGTGTGGGATTCTTAAATCTGATGTCATTGAACTCCTGGAGGCTGTAGGGAGAGAGGAGTCCTAACTATGTTTTGAGGATCTGTTAGTTTCTAGTTTTGTGAGTGAAGAATTTAATTCTGAGTCTCTGGTAGAATTTTCCATCCAGAGAAAAATGTAATTTTTGTAGAACATGAGAGATAATAGTTTGTACTTCCTGATCTGCTACTTCCAGAGCAACAATAGTTTCAAAGCAGTGTTTCAGTGATTGATTTAACTGTTATTTTTACAAGTAATATCAAAGATTCCTATTCTGAAAAATATTAGTGGCCAAAGATAACCAAAATTTCCTTTGGGCATCCGAGTGTTCTGTGATGCATAAAAAAAGCATGAGTTTGAAGGTGGACAGAGGGACACATGGTTTTAAAAGTGAAGAACAATGATTAGCATTCATTCACAGAAAACTAACAGCTCTTCACTCCTAAACAGCCTTTTCAGTGCTTGACATGCTGTGCTGCTCTTGGCTAAGTGTGCAATGTTTTCCAGATCTACATGTGCCGGATGAAGGTGATGGCTCGTGCTTGTCACTTCTATAACAATGTGGAAGGTGAGTTTTTTTGGAGAGGGAGAGATCTGCTGGGCAAGTAGAGAAGTTGGGAGGAGCTGGCAGAACCTGCCTGGGCACACTCGTGTGTGTGTTCTGCTCTGTTTTTCAAGAATGAAATGTTAGGAAGTGGATGAGCATGATGACCAGGGTGACATCAGATCTTTGTGTGATACCTTTACCAAAACTCAGGGTTGTAATGTGATTTTTCACAGAGAAGAGTACAGAGAAAGAACTTATTGACTCAATCATGGATATTGAAGACTTGGTTAAAAATGGAAATAAGCACAGGTGAGTGATCTCCTCACACCTTCCTCCCCCTCACTTGTGGAAGTACTGAAAACTATTTCTCTGCTCATTGTTATGAATACCTTGGTATGAACTTGACGTGCACTAAAAGTAGCAGAGGAATGATGAGAGCAAAGTGGAGTGGCTAAAGATGTGGCAGAGACAGCTTCCAACAAAACTGAGTGTGTGCTTTACCTCCTGCCACTGCAGTTTTCATCTTCCAGTAATTTACTTCAGTCCTCAGTCGTGTAGAGACTGAATCAGGTCAGAGTCTGACTCACCAATACTTTATTTCTTGTTTGAGCAGAGGCTTCCAGTATCATCTGACATGACAAATGATACTCCAGTTCTGCTTCAGATCTAAGGGGATAAGGTGACTGATTTGTTGAGATAAAACAGTCTAGCACAGCATTTACTTATAGCCTAAAGGCATGAAATAATAACACAGTAATGAATGCCACTCTTTCTCCTTTTAATTTATTTTCTCTTTGTTCTGTGGAGCTGCACAACTAGGTATTATTTTGTACACTACTGTTTACTTGTCTTTTGTGAATAGAGGTAACCATCTGCCTGGAAATTAGTGTTAGTTGTGTGAAACCTGGTATGTGGATGGGGGATGCACTCAATATTTGTCCAAGTATTACTTTATAGTTTGTGCTGTTGTTTTTTCCAACAGAGCTTGTCCTTATTATCTCTCTCGAAGCCTGAAGCAGCAAGCAGATATTATTTTTATGCCATACAACTATTTACTAGACTCAAAGGTAACATATACTTTTGCTTTTAAATGTGATTGTCCCTCTCTCTATCTTCTGTTGGCTCTTGGGTGAGCTGTGAAGAGCTGATCTCATGTGTGAATGCATTATGTGCTATACTTCAAAACTTGTCCAAACCCCATTCAAATTCAGAACCACAGAGGATGCAGTTTTGTGTTTTTCTCTGTAAAATTCTTTCCCACAGTTAAGAAATATAAACTTTTTTTTTTTTTGAGTTCTTGCTGGTTTTCTAGAATTAGTTTTGCACAATGTGGTGCCTTTGATATCCACCTCCTGAATACAGGTCTCCAGCCACACACTGCCATGTATTTTTGCATGCATTTGGAGACACTTTCATTTCTGCAGCCAGCTGCATGATTTCTAGCCTAAGGAAACTTCTTCAGCAGAGATTGGACACCTCTCATGGAAATACTTGCTGGCTTTGTTTAAAAAGGAGAAAAAAACTTGTCCATATTTCATGGATAGGAAATGAAACCTTTGAAAACTCTAAGGAGACATCTGCTGACATCTTCATGCAACTTTGAGTAATTAATGAAATACAGTAAAAGCCAGATTCCATTCCATTGCTACAAAAGGCAAAAAGACCCAATGTTTAATAAATGATAAAATAAAATTAGAAATCTCTTCCCACCTTAAGCAGAGCAGTGTTGTGAAGTGAGTCCTGTGACCTGGTACTGTTGGGGGTGTTTTCAGAGCACCTGCTTCTTGCAAAGATGACATTTTTACAAATAATAACTTTTAAAAAACACCTGAAAACTCAAATCTGTCTCCTGAGCCAATTCCTCAGTCCATCAAATCCATATTTCTCAGTGGTCTGGTCCATCCCCACGTTCTCTTTCTCACCTTCAGAGCCGGAGAGCACACAACTTGGACCTGAAGGGCACTGTGGTAATCCTTGATGAAGCTCACAACGTGGTAAGTTGTTTCTGGTCTCTTGCCAGTTTTCAAACTTCATCCAAAGAGAAAAACAGGGACCTGTGCCCTGTGACAGTCTTGTAAAATCTGTACTCAGCTAGTTCAGGTGACCCTGAACGTTCCTTGTTTCTGTGACAGTTAAAGCTTTGTTGTTTAATTAAGTCCTTTGACACTACTGTGATGTCTCCAGGGTGATGGTTTCCTCCTGAAGGGTGGATCCTCCAAATTTAGGAAGACACCCATTTTCTTGTTTGGAGAGTTCTCTTCCAGGGTGTAAGAAACCATGAAGGTCCCAGTCTTGAAGCTGAGCTGCATCAGCTGTCTGAGCACAGTAGATGGCAGACACGTGACTCTTGTAATACTTCCAAGTCTTCATTCATAGAG